GTGTACTGTAGACCTGATTTGAGGTCTGGAGTACAGTGGGCTACATGCTATGCAGTGGTGGGATGCATGGGGCCCCCTATATGTTGGTCATCTGGGGTATATATGTTGCCATTGCATGCTGTGCCCCTCAGTTCACCAGGCACCAGGCCACATTCATTGTCACAACCCCTCCTTTACCTAAATGGGTACACCTTGAGGCCAGGTTCACACCTAGGCAATTAAGCTGTTTTTGCACGTTTTTTTGCACGCTTCTTAATGCTTAGACATGTCTAGGGGACCACAACCCGAAAATAGCTCCTGTGCCTTTTTACACGATGGGCGATTTTGATTGTGCAACGCAAAGGTGTGAACAGGCCCCATTGACTTAAATGGGAATCTGTGTTTTGGGAGATATCACCTAGGTGTGAACCTAGCCTTACAAGTAAGCAAGTCCTCATGTACATATACCTGTATAGTTATGAATGGTACATACAATCTTGTTTTTTAAATGTTAGCAAATACCTATTTTTCTATATTAAACTGATCAAAAACATTTCAATATCTATTCAAGTATCTAAGTTCTCCTGTCAAGGGAACAATTTTATTCCAAACATGTTTTTATCCTGTATTGATATGTTGTGAACGTTTCCAAGACAAGCTAAAGATAAAATCTTCAAGTAGCAAAGTTTTTCTTTATTTTTAATGCAGCATCACCCAATGGAAAACTATTATTGTAACATGCTTGTTAGTGCTTCAAAGGGAAGTAACAGCTTGGGTTGTTTTATATCTTAGAAACTATTTTATGTCATGGAAACAAGTTTATACTGTAGAAACAATGGTTTTGCAAAGACAATTTAAATGTTCAATGAATTGTATGCATTAATTCTGAGGCACTGCCCAATTGTTATCATGGTGTGCTTTGTAAGCTGTTTGGTGGGCAACCAACTGTTTTCTTGTTATCACAACTATTATACATAAGCTAGGAATGCATGGCACTTCAGTTTTACCATTTTGTTTATATGACAATAATATATAACCAACCAATATAATATGTAATTCAATATATATAAACTAACACATACATCAAAAAACAGGTAAAGGTGGCTGCATTCTTGTTTGAGGTTGACTGAGGTTTAAAATAAATTCAAGGCTTAAAGTGATAGCTTTAGTTTGTTTTTTTTACTAGTGGGAGGTCGTCTATATTGCAGATCTTTCTTTTTTTTTGCATTTCTCAATTCCTTGTTTTCTAGTGGGTCCCCACATCCTCTCTCCCCCCACCCCCTGAACGGGTGCCGCCAGCAGCTAAGCATCTGCTGTGGAGAACCAGTGCATGCGCGTTCCCAGCCATGCCAGCAGTAGTTGTGTGCGTCCTTAGACACACAGCCCTGGGGCAGGCCACGCCCCTCCTCTCCCCCTAACAGTTTGACTGATGGCAGAAGGAGCCTATGGCTCATCTGCAACCAGGAAGTTTGGGGCAGAGGATCGCTTCAGCGACCAGAGGTGGTGACAAGCGGTGTTGACAGGTAAGTTTGGGTGAGACAGGGGAGTCAAAAAGGTACAGGGCGTTTTTTTACCCTAATGCACAGAATGCATTAAGGTAAAAAATGCCCAGCCTTTAATACTACTTTACATTAAATTATTCTTGAAACAAATGTAACATTAAAAAATAATACACTCAAACAGTGCTTAGTAATAAACTTGAGCAACCCATGACTAATAACCCAAAACGGAATAAAATCAAACTTTTCCCACTCCCAAAGCAAAACCCCTAAAAATGTATGCCTGTGACAGTTCAATCACAGGCAGCTCGACGAAAAGTTCATGAAGAAATTAGCTACACAGACCCAGAGACATTAGGTTAATGAAGGACAGGGGATATCATCAGGCACCAGCCGAGGTGTATTTACAACACATTGCGCACCTGGCATCCCACCCAGTCCCTGGCAAGTAGTGATGTCACTGGTTGCCAGAAGCTGGGTGGGATTCTGGCCATAGGGTCCCAGGTTGCTAAGAACAGGGCAGGCAGATGTGTATGGCCCTTACACATCTCCCCGTCTGGCTCTCAGCAACCTGGGATGCTGTGGTCACTGTCACTGGATGCTGTGGTCGCCAAACTCCTGGCAACCAATGCCATCACTGGCTGCTAAGAGCCGGGCGGGCAAATGTGTATGTGTGTTTAATTATATTTTATTAGTTTTAACATACAGCTCCTATTTCATTTATATAGATCTTTGATCATTACATTCATTTCAATACCTTTGCCAACCCACAAGGAGAGAGAAAAAGAAATTAAGGGGCTAGGGGTATATGTGATTGTTTTAAAATTTGAGGTCATCCCTTCCCTTTGAATACTACTTTAGTGTTCCATTTATCTTTATTTATGTTCCCATTATATTCAGTACCATATAATTATATTTATATATTAGGTGAGAAAGATTAAAATGTGTTACACATGTGAAAAGGGAAACATTTTTTATATTTCAGGAGGTTTCCTCTCTCTTGTGAATTTAAGTGCCTATTTCCTCAATGATCTAAATAACTTTGTGCATGTCACTTTTTTTAGACTTAAATCTAATTTAATAAACTTCTTGTTCATTCTCTAGTGTTTTAAGTGTACAAGTATCTTGATTTATTCCATATTTCTTATCCTTCTTCCCATTTATCCCCTTATTCTATTTATATTATTCCATTACATTATCATTGTTTATTCTTATTATCTCTATTTATATCTTTATATCTCCTTACACCTTCTTATGTGAAAAAAGAAAAAAAAGGACCCCCTTTCTCCTTTCTCTCCTTTAGTGGGTAAGGCAAAAATCTACAGTATATTTATATATATTAAATCACACAAACACAACAAATTTAAGACTGAAAAAAAACAAAAACCTCAATTGAGGGTAGAAGAAACAGGGAAACGGGATTGCCCTATCACCATCTCCTCATTTTGGAAAAGTTCAATTTATTTCCATCACTTTTTAGTCACTTGGGCAAATGTATATGGGAGAGGGGTGAAGAGAGAGAAAAAGTCAGCTGTCTCTGTGGGTTGGCGAACTTTCACTGACCCAAGGAGCAGCGCCCCCGCCTTGTTATGTGCCATACCCTGGATTTGCCACTGTCATGGGGTCTCCCAACCGGTTCACTTAACTTGTGCTCTTCCAGGCAGCACAGACTCATAATCCACTCACTCCTCTTGGTAGAACCCATTGAACCACCAGGAGCAAAGAAAAAAACTTGGTACTTCCAGGTATGGAGGACCATGTGGCTCACTCTCTTTCCTCCCACGTAACCACAGTGGTGATTAGCTGCTTAGGACCCCAATTCTGTCACATGGCAGTGAGGAGAGTGATGTCAGTCTTGTGTAAGCTTCGGCTTGTTAGTTTGAGCTTATGCAGGGCTTCATTTCTTTGCTACTGGTGGCTGAACAGAGTGTCATGGGAGCCAAAGAAAGATGAATAAGTGTAGCAATGTAGGATGGCAGGTAAGTAAAACCGTTTGCTCTACCCGGCAATTAACAAGAAACAGGTTTACCCTAAACTTACACATAAGTAAACAAGCCACAGAAATGTATCATACAGATAATGTATGGTAGAAATGTATGGTTGCATTAACAATTTCTTGGAGACCCCTGATGTCTCCCTAAAGAGGACCTGTCATGTAAATTGGCTATCCCATAGGGGGCTTCTTAGCCCCCCATGTAATAGCAATAAAGTTGTATGTTAAAAAAAAAAAGTAATACAAAAATGAAATTCATAAAAAAAATAAAGAAGCATAACATTTATTTTTTTAAACATTTTTTTTAAGTCCGCGCCCCCCTAATACACACGCATATATGCGTCAGGTGCGCCTACGTGCCGCACATGTTGCATATCGCCGCAAACGGAGTGGGCGTTTTACAGCGCTGATCGACGCGCTGTAAAACGCCCTGCAAGTGAAATCCCATTATTTCCTATGGGCATGGTTCTCACCTGGGCGTATTTCAGCGTGTCGGAACGTGCTGAAAAACGCCCTATGCCCAAAGAAGTACAGGAGCTTCTTTGGGGCGTATTTCCGCGCGTATCCATTAGGATACAGCCGGATAGCCCACGTAAACACGCGTTTTGTGGGCTGCAAATCACGGTTAAAGCATGCACCGCAAAACGCGCGTCATACACGCATATATTATGAACGCCTGGGTGGGAACCCAGCCTAAAGGAGAACTATGAGGTGAGTGCTTTTCACTCACCTCATAGTTCTAGCCGACCTGTGACAATGAGACTGTCACAGGTCGGCTCAGTAGATCGCGAAGTGAGCGAACACATACCGGTGTTCGCTCACTTCTCGATCCTGTCACGGCACAGAGCCGTGACAGGGGAGGGGCTGGATTCCCCCCTCCCCACTCCAATCCGCCAGCGCTGACTGGCGGAACGGACAGGGCAGGGGACAGGTACAGCTGGCTCTGCCTCTAGATAGGCAGAGCCAGCTGTCACTCACGCAGCTGGGGGGATCCAAACATAATTGTCGGGATCAGCTTCAGCTGCGGCGTCTCAGTATACCGCGAGCTGCAGCTTGCGGTATACTGAGCTTAGGGTGACGGGAGGACGCTAATTTGTGTCCTGCCGTTACCCTAAGGAGAACTATGGGGAAAATCCCTAACCCCATAGTTCTCCTTTAATCACTGATAACACCTAAACTGATGAACAGTAAAAGCGTTTTAATCGTCGCCTATGGGCGTTTTTTGAGGGCGCACGCAATTTAAGGCTGGACATGTTTGGTGTCTATTTACCCGACGTGACCCTGACATTTATGTTTTACTAAAAATATGGGTAAGAATAAATGTTTTATAACATAACGTAGGGAAACTTTTTTGGTACTTTTCTAATTATATAGTTTTAAAAAATACCCCCCCGTGGTGATTATATACCTCCAAAAGAACGCTCTATCTGTCCCCAAACTTTTTTAACATAAATTGCAAGGCTATAGTCCGGTCATGCTGACTGGTGAAATTTTTGACTGACTGGTGAGACACTATCAAATTTTTCAAGCCCTGTCAGGAAGGCCATCAAGGCGCTGGAGATGGGGCTGTGCCGCGGGCATCTGCGCAAGCGCATCTGCGCAAGGTGTGGCCCATAGAGCTAGCCGTGGGTGTGCGTCTCTGCGTGGATGCGCGCGCACCACAGATTCTGGGGCCAGACGGGCTATTTAAACTGTGCCTCCTGGGTGTTTCATTGCTGGATGATCGTCAGCTATTGCTAGTATCCAGCTTGTGTTCCACTTGTGATTGTTGACCCGGCTTTCCTGATTTACCTCTGGCTTTCTCCTGTTCCTTGACCTCGGATTGTTCCTGACTATTCTCTGCTTACTGCTTTGTACCTTGCTGCCCTCCTGGTTCTGACCTCAGCCTGTACCTCCACTTCGCCTACTCCTGCTTCCAGATCCTGCCTGTCACCTGGTTTCTGCTCTGCCAGCTTTGCATCTTGCTACCACCTAGCCTGCATCCGGACGTGCTTCCGATGCGTTGCATGCAGTATTGCATTACCAGACAAGGCGGTTTCCAGCTCCAGCCTGCAGGCACTTGTGCCCCTCTGTGCCCTGACCACCCTGTTCCACTTCCCAGGATTATCGGGACCAGAGTTGCAAGGGAGGCCTCCCTCGTCATCTCAAGCTCCAAAAAGGTACGTGACAAGCCCTGTATATATATATATATTGTGGTGTTGTGTGGCAATCCCACGGTAGAACTGGGGGTTGTAGTCACCCAGGACTCTCAGCCAGAGGTGCTGAGCAGTTCCAGGAAACAAATTATTTTGCTGGGAAAGAACTGGCCTTTCAGTTCTCTCCCTAGAAAACCTGGATTTGGCATGGGATCCTGGAACTGGGAGATTTCAAAGAGAATTGGGAGGAATGAAATCTCCATTCCTGGGTCCATTGTTTAATAGTGGCCAGCACCTAATTGCACACCTGTGCACAGCACTTATGGGAAGGGTGCTGGCTAGTGTTCTGGGCTCCTGCTGGGAAGAGGACAGGTGTGTCCAGGAGTCAGGCAAACTCCACCCAGAAGCCAGAGTGAAGCCAGGAGGCTGTGTATGTGTTGGAGGCTGGAAGGCTTGGAGAGCCAGAGAGAGCCAGGCACACAAGGTGTGTGGGTGAATTCAAAAGATGCTCAAAGGCACAGAATATCCAGGAAGAGATTCTATTGAGGCAAACCGTCAGGTCCTTAGACACTGAACAGGATAACCTGTGAAGGGTGAGCTGATATGTACGCTGAAGAAAGCTATTTATGTTGGATTTCCTTTTTCTGCCTTTGGAATTAATAAAAGACTGCCCTTTGTTCTGTGAAAACGGCTTCATGACTGGTCCTTAAGCGCTCGCCATTTGTGCTAACCTCCCCAACGTCACAATATATACACAGTTGTGTGAAAAAGTGTTGGTCCCCTTCCTGATTTTTCATTGTTTTGCACGTTTGTCACACTTTAATGTTTCAGCTCATCAAAAAAATGTAAATATTAGTCAAAGATAACACAAGTAAACACAACATGCAGTTTTTAAAGGAAGGTTTTTATTATTAAGGGAAAACAAAATCCAAACCCACATGGCCCCTTCTGAAAAAGTGTTTGCCCCCTAAACCTAATAACTGGTTGGGCCACCCTTAGCGGCAATAACGGCAATCAAGCGTTTGCGATAACTTGCAATGAGTCTGTTACAGCGCTGTGCAGGAATTTATTTTGGTCCACTCATCTTTGCAGAATTGTTGTAATTCAGCCACATTGGAAGGTTTTCGAGCATGAACTGCCTTTTTAAGGTCATGCCACAGCATCTCAATAGGATGAAAAATTTGAGATGAAAAATCGGGAAGGGGGCCAACACTTTTTTACACAACTGTATATAGTAGATTTTTATATGCTGTATATAAAATAATTTAAGAGCTTATAAATTAAGGAGAAAATTTAAAATAAGGATTTAACCAAAACCAATAACGCTTCCCTTTATATCATTTGGCTTTTTTTAATGCACCTTTTTCTGTCAATATAAGCAACTTTCACTATCACTGAACCACTCAGGAAAACAGACTTCAGTATATACGCATATGCACAAAGTTGGGTATTTCCAGAGTATACTTTCTTTGCTGACTAAACAGTTTGGGTCATGTAGAGATTCTTAACTTTCTGGGCTCTGTGCCATTATCCTCTGCACCATAGCAATTTTCAAGGCATGTGCAAACATTACAAACTAGCGTTTCCTACTGCAGGAGCATTACTCAACCATGGTTACTATGCAAGCTCTTAATATGGTGATCTCAGATCTTGAGAACAACATGGTTTATAAACCCAACTATAGATAGTTTCTGTTCCTTCTTTCTGACTAAAACATTTCCTTTTCTTTCAGAAATGCATTTGTTTGATGCTAAATAACCTTTTGTCTTTTGTGTCTATTCTAACTATGTATTAATATTTGGCAAAGTAAAAAAGTGGCTCACTTTTAATATTGTAAAGGTACCAAGATAAACAGGGCATTATTAGTGTATATATAATTCAAACACCATGCAAGATTGCTAGAAAGAAATTAAAATTCAACAGTGTATTACTATCGCTTTGAAGTGCCTTCTATCTCTTAAATGGTCAGACATGACACTCTTTGGATCTGAAAATACAGTTTAAATATATATTTCAGCTGTCGTACCTGAAGAAGAACTTGTATTGTTGTGTGTATAGTTTTGTAATCCAGGTACCTCTTCCGGAAAGCACATCCTGTTCCTGGACTATGAAATTTGGTATTGTCATTACTATGATGCTTATTGCTCTCTTTGCTGGAGGCCTTAACATGAGGAAGCAAAGCCCTGGTTCATACAAGGACAGTGTAGAATAAGGCATGGTACAGTAAAGGGGAGAATAAATGCTTCAGAGTCTATGAAAAGGTCCTGGCCCAGGACCTAAAAAAATGAATAGGAGCATGTTTGATGATGCATACCCCAGCGTTGCTGGTCAGTGCCCAATAGTACCGGCATGGATCCAGTGCTGGGAACTGGAACGCAAAATGGAGCACACCTGCTGCCACTCTGCAGGCTGTCCTGCATTTTGTGGGGCAGCCTGTGGAACATAGTCATTGCAGCAGAGTGTTCAATATCAGGACATGTGGCAACTATACCTTAGGTCGTAATAACAAGCACCTCCAATCTTAAAAACACTTATCGCAAATGGAGATTTTTTTCAATTACTTTTTCAAAAATGCGCATGCAGTGACACTTATTGTTCCGTGCTCTTAATGGAATGTTGGAAGGATAGTTTTAACTGTGTGTGCACTAATTGTGTAAGGTGTGAGCCCCACAAGGAACATTAGTGGATCGCGGTGCTAAGTACAGGCAGCTCTATACACAAACTGAGTTAAGGTGGCCATACACTCTACAACCATCGCAAGACTTTAGTCTTGCGATGGTTGTAAAGGGATTAAAAAAACGTACGATCTGCCTATCTTGGACAGGCAGATCGCACTCTCGATCATCGCAAGCCCGCCCTCCTGAGGGGCGGGCTTCCGATGACCGCAATGCTGAACGGGCAGTGTGCGCGTGCGCACACCGGCCCGTTCAGCATTTATCTTCCGAGCACCGTTCTAACCAGCCGAAAATCGTACGATTCCCGGCTGGTTTTCGAACATGCTGGTTCGACAGAAGACGTGCGACCGTACAGTAGAAACGGTCGCACGTCTCCGTTCACACTGCTCGATTATCGTACGAAAACCCGATCGCATACGATTATCGTACGATAATCGTGCAGTGTATGGGCACCTTTTAGAGAGACACCTGTCCACCTATGACAGAGCCTGATTAAGATTTATCAAGGTCCTAAGCAGATTAACAAAGAGTATTGCAGCAGAAACTTTAGTTAGTTTTACTTTTGCTATACTTTTTATTTTACGTGGTTCCACTATCGGTATGTGTAACATTCATTGATCACCAAACCTCAGGTCACAGTGACTAAGACATGCAAGTTTTCAGTGTGAGGAGTGATGTTATTTCCTCACAATGAGAAGAACCACTGGAGCTGTTGCATTTAGGTATTGCAGGTGATACATAAAAAATATACTTAAGTGTATAGATTATACACTTAAAAATCCTGGACCACCAATGTATGAAATACATCAATGCCTTTTCTGATCTCCCACCCAGAACATGCCCCTAAACAGACAGAACGAGAAAGACACCTAAACCAAGATGTTCAAAACATTGACATATGTGGATGATTATTTGTATTATCAAAATGATAAATATAGATTAAAACATTTCCAAAAGACTGGGCTTTTCTTTTAACACCCTAGCTTGAAATGACTAGTTCTTCTTTTGTCTAAAAGGATAAAAATAAATTCTGTTGTCACACATATTATCAATGGAGGAACTGAAAAAAAAGAAGTTCCTTTAACCACTACAGCTCCTGCACCCTTATATAGTGTTAAAGGACCATTGCACGTTTTATAATTTAGCTTTGAACCTGTTGATTCATAATTAATTTTATGACTAATAAAAAGATGTAATTTTTTGGGTGGCAAAAGGTTTTTTATTTTATTTTGGGGCGGGGCGAATGACCAAATGAGAAAAAACTTGGGCTAACTAGGTTTCACTAAGGAGTTAATAGGAAAAAAAAAAAGAAACTCAGCAGGTTTACACACTTGCTGGAAATGACATTATCTGCAGGTTAAAGGAAGTGCTCTAAATATACACTATATTGCCAAAAGTATTGGGATGCCTGCCTTTACACGCACATGAACTTTAATGGCATCCTAGTCTTAGTCGGTTGGGTTCAATACTGAGTTGGCCCACCCTTTGCAGCTATAACAGCTTCGACTCTTCTGGGAAGGCGTCCACAAGGTTTAGAAGTGTGTCTATGGGAATGTTTGACCATTCTTTCAGAAGCGCATTTGTGAGGTCAGGTACTGAAGTTGGACGAGAAGGCCTGGCTCGCAGTCTCCGCTCTAATTCATCCTAAAGGTGGTCTATCGGGTTGAGGTCAGAACTCTGTGCAGGCCAGTCAAGTTCCTCTACCCCCAACTCGCTCATCCATGCCTTTATGGAGCTTGCTTTGTGCACAATAAATTTTCCAAAATGTCTTGGTATGCTGATGCCTTAAGAGTTCCCTTCACTGGAACTAAGGGGCCAAGCCCAAACCCTGAAAAACAACCCCACACCATAATCCCCCCTCCACCAAACTTTACAATTGGCGCAATGCAGTCAGGCAAGTACCGTTCTCCTGGCAACGGCCAAACCCAGACACATCCATCGGACTGCCAGACAGAGAAGCGTGATTCATCACTCCAGCGTGCTTTACACCATTGCATCCGACGCTTTGCATTGCACTTGGTGATGTAAGGCTTGGATGCAGGTGCTTGGCCATGGAAACCCATTCCATGAAGCAGATTGTGCCAATCTGAAGGCCACACAAACTTTGGAGGTCTTTGATTCTGACTTTGATTCTGCAGACAGTTGGTAAATCTTGTGCACTGTGCGCAGCAGCATGCGCTGACCCCGTACTGTCATTTTACATGGCCTACCACTTCGTGGCTGAGTTGCTGTTGTTCCCAGTTGCTTCCACTTTGTTATAATACCACTAACAGTTGACTGTGGAATATTTAGTAGCAAGGAAATTTCATGGGTGGACTTATTACACAGGTGGCAACTTATCACGGGACC